GTAAATGCCTGTCTCCTTTGTTCGTTAGGAGCATAATGGAGAGACATCCTCAAGTGCTTCTGTTATGTGCATTGATCTTCATCACTTTTTTTGCCCTTTTACATCTCGTTGAAGCTCAAGACCAAAAAGGTACTTAAACACACATATTTTGTTGTTTTTGTTACATTTTGCTTCGAAACATTGTGCTTAACTTGTTTCGATACATTTTGCTCATAGGATTCATCAGTTTGGATTGCGGGTTATCGCCTACCGAGCCTCCTTACAACGATCCTTCAACCGGATTAACATACTCAACAGACGATGGTTTCGTGCAAACTGGCAAAACCGGGAAAATCCAAAAGGAGTTTGAGCCAATCTTCAGTAAACCGTCATTAAAGCTTAGGTACTTCCCGGATGGAATCCGAAACTGCTATACCGTGAATGTCACGGAAGGTACAAGCTATCTTATCAAAGCCGTATTCGTGTACGGTAACTATGATGATCTTAACAATTACCCGAGTTTCGACCTTTACCTTGGTCCGAATCTATGGGCAACGGTTGATATGAATGGACGGGTCAATGGTACTATCCAGGAGATCATTCATAAGACAATATCTAAGTCTCTTCAGGTCTGTCTCGTTAAGACAGGAACAAGTAATCCTATGATTAATACCTTAGAGCTACGACCACTTAAGAACACTACTTACAATACTCAGAGCGGCTCGCTGAAGTTTTTCTTCCGATATTATTTCAGCACTTCAGGCTTCACTATACGGTATCAATCACACCTTTTTGAATTAATCAAGTTCAAGTTTTGCTTTTTGTTTCGGTTTGAGTTCATCGTATTTGGCCATATGAGATGTAGGGCCATATATTATGTAAGGATATATTAAATATTGGGCTATTGATATAAAGCCTCTTAAGAGTATTAGGGTTAACTAGTTTTGTATAAATACATGTAACCATATTCTATACGTTTTCAATAACACAAACCATAATTATATTTCCGCGTTAAACTTTGCACTTTGGATTTTAGTAAAATAGGTCCAAAGTAGAACCGAATTTTGCTTCAGTTCGGTTTGAAAATTTTGGGTTTCGGCTTGATAATTTTTATTTTTT